AGGGGTGAGGAATTGGGGGGTGGTTATCACAGGGTGGCATAATTTGATGGGTGGAGGGAGGAGTGGTTAAAGGAAAGGGAAACTGTTATGAAAAACAATGTGTATGTACTTTGTAAGTAAACCAGTATAAAATATATATATATTTTTTAAAAATAGATCTGTTTGAGTTGTGGCTCTGTTTTCTTTCTTATTAATGTTAATGAAAGTTTACAGAGACTTTGGATTTCCATTCATTCATTGTTGCCCATCCCCTCCCCCGCAATCACTCTTCTCCTTGAAAAGAAAAACTCTTTCACTGTTATGCAATCCCTCCCCTCAAGTTCACTCCACTATGCAGTCTTCACTCTGGACTTCTTTAATGACAAAATACCCATTCATGTTACCACAGGTTTTGACTATGTATCTAAGTAAAATGAAATCATTGACAACTCTAATATTTTCTCAGAACACCTTCAGAAACTATGAACTTTAATAAATGTCAATAGTTATAGAAAAGCTTCAGGCCTTTTGTTCATAGGCTTGCTATGAGTCATACTTGACTCAAACAACAAATTCAGGTGAAGACGCATGTGTGTAGCTATTGGATCTTAAGAGGTGAGTTCTCCTTGATTTGACTAAAAGTTGGCTGATTTTGCTCACAACCATGTGTAAGCTGCTGGGAGTGGAAATTCTGAGCTGTGGGCTGAGAGCCTCTTGTTGGAGCCAATCAAGGCCCAGTGCGCTGGCCTGGGTTTTTTCAAATCTATTTTGGACTGAGTCTTCAGTTGAATGTGCATGTGTGTAGCTGTTGGGTTTTAAGAGGTGAGTTCTCCTTTATTTGGCTAAAGGTCGACTGATTTTGCTCACAACCATGTGTGAGCTGCTGGGATTGGAGGGTTCTAAACTGTGGGCCAGGAGCCTCTTGTTGGAGCCAATCAAGGCCTAGTGCCCTGGCCTGGGTTTTGTTTTGTTTTTTTCAAATCCATTTTGGACTTAGCCTTCAGCTGACCAGAAGCAGGAATGGCATCCACTTCCTAAACAGAATGCCTCCGGAAACTCTATGAACTTTGATAAATGTTAATAGTTGTAGAAGGGCTTTTAAGCCTTTTGTTCGTAGGGTCTCTATGAGTCATGTCTGACTCGAAGGCAATCAATGACAATATCCCTTTTAGAGAGATCTCACCCTCATCTTTTTCAATGCAATAGACATCATTCCTCCCCTCCTTTTCTGTCTTCCCTCAATGCTGATGTCAATGCCATTTTACAACAGTGGCCCTATGCAATATTTGTCCTTTTGTGACTGAGATATTTCATTCAGCATAATGTCCTCCAGGGTTATCCATTTTGCATACTATTTCATAAGGGGTTCCCCCCCCTTTTTTCATTGTTTTTCAATGCTGCATAGTATTCCATTGTGTAAATATACCATAGCGTCTCTATCCATTTGTTTGATGATGGGCACTTGAGTTGTTTCCAGCTCTTTTGCTATTGCAAACAAAGCCACAATTAACATGGGTGTGCATATATCTGCTTGGGTGGCAGTTATGGTTTCTTTAAGGTAAATTCCCAGTAGTGGAATTGCTGGGTCAAATGGTATTTCTATTTGCAACTTTTTGAGAAAGCGCCATACAGCCTTCCATAGTGGTTGCACCATTTTACACTCCTACCAATAGTGAATAAGGTTTCCAGTTTCTCCACAACCTCACCATCATTTGATGTTTTGAGAAAAGCAAACATTGTTTTATGGTTATTAGGGATGAGCGAGGGGAAAAGAGGAAATTACTTTCTAGATAGTAGATCCTTCCTTGCTATTTTTCGCTCTTGTGAAAGGCAAGTCCCAACATGACTGAAGTCTACAGAATTACATCAAGATAAATGATGATAATAAGAACTGCATAAGAATAAGGGACAAATAAGGGAAAACAAGCAAGAAACTAGTCTACGGGACTAATAGCACAAATGGACAATCAACACAAAGACCAAGCTAAGTGGTGCCCAGTTACCCAACAACTGTTCTAAGCTGACAATCAATGGTCCTGGACAAAATTGGAGGAAAATGTAGAACAAATCTCAAATACCTATAAAGCCAGAACTAACAGACTCAGAAAGACTAGAGGATCCCCTGAGACTAACAGTTCTGAAATACTCAGTAAACTTGGAACTAAACCCATTCTCCGAGGTCACTTTTCAATCAATTAGCAGCCTGGTTCACAAAATTAGCACTGCCACCAATGAGCACTACGCTCCTTTAAATAATCATTTCTTCAAGACCAAATGGTCACTATTTACCATAAAGCAAAGATGAGAATGTAAGATGGGAGCTAGATTAATGGGAATATAACAATCAGAATGGAAATAATGGTAAAAATGCTAAGACACTGTGAAACTCATAACAAATGTCACCA